GCAGCAGCAGCAACATGCCACATGCCTGTCACCTTCATTTGCAGCATGTCACACGCACACACACACACACTCGCACACATTCATGTACATGTATATATGTAGAATCATCTACTCTCTGCTGATTAATGATATTAGCTAATCCCATTAGCCGTTGCCCTGGCCCCATGCAAAATCAAATGCAATCAACCGCAATAATCGCGCACGTGAAAAAATAGAAAATCGAAAATAGCGAGAAAAAAAATATATTGCAAATTTCGAAAATCGAATGAGAGAAAAAAAAACATTAGCTGCTAATGCGGCAGAGCGTTTTTAACCACCACCAAAAACGCCCCAAGCTAATCGCACTTTTTCCCATACATCGAGAGGTAGAGGGAGAGTTTGCCTTATGTGGATGGCGATGGCGATGACGATGTGTTAATTTCATTTGATTGACATGTGTCCATGTCCAGGCTGCTGCTCTGTTTTAAGTTAAGAAAACCCAAAAATCAAAAGACAGCAACTACAACAACAGCGAAATGAGAGCATAAAAATGAAGAGATCTAGAAATTTGGTGAGGCACGGGTCCCATCTGACGAATGTCATGTTCAAATCTCAGCCTTATCAACATATGTTGGCTAACCCCCACCCCTACCCAGCCCTACTATCTCGTGCCATCCCATGCCAGGGCATACTCAAAAAAACCAACTACACTCATTCCCATTTCCATTCCCATTCCAGTTCCCATTTCCATTGACATTCCGATCTGGTTCTGTCCCGTACTTGTTATTGCGACAGTTTTCTCTGCTTTTTGTCGAGATGACATCGAACGGACATGTAACTGTCATATGATAATGCCCCGAACATGCTTATATGCATGCACGTATCATCAAAAAGAAACTGTCTCGATCTCGATCAGTGCCTAACAAGAAAAACAAACAAACCGGAACAAAAATCACTCCAACATACAAATGCTTCAGTTCTCATTACAATTCAATTATTTTTGTAATACTTACTAAAAACTAAATTAGCTCAGCATTTGCTGTCCCTGCTTCCCAGACATATCATCAAGAAGCTAGGCAAAGGTTTCTACAGCTATCCTAACTTTAATTTGAATAGATATTTGGAGCTTACGTACCTATAGCTTGTATAAGGTGGGCAGACTGTTCAGCCTGAAACATAAATGATCCAGTCAAGTTTGTCTCTTATATTCATTTCTTATTTTCATATTATCTTAAGCTTGCGTAACCCTTTAAAGCTTATATGGTTCTTCATGATTAATGTTTCTCTCATTTCTGGTTAATCTTAAGCTTAACTCTTTAGAGCTTCTTCTTCATATTTAGCTCATCTTGAATATTAAGAAATCCTTAAAATTTTCCTGTTATGCTAACTCTTTGCGGATTCTCTTTTATTTACAACTCATAAGCTCCAATAGCTATGCCTAGCTGTTCCGTAACTTCTTTCTTTCTTCCTTAGATCAATGTGTCTTCCATAAACTTTTTCTATAACTCAATAAACTTCTCAAAGTATCTAGTTAATCTGGTAGGTGGTAGGTGAAGGTAGCTCCTGAAAGTTTCTCTCTTGATTAAATCCACAGATTTGTTGCTCTTTAACATTAATTTTTATTTTTAAATGATCTCTCTCATTCTATTTCTACAAGCATCTCTTTAAAGAGCCTCTCGCTTGTCGGTTTTTCGCTGTGCAAAGGAGGTCCAAGATATCTTTATCTCTTCAGTCGAAAGCTTCTTAAAAGTTTCGCTTGCATTTTTAAGTTTCCCAAGTTATTTGTCCCTTAGGGTTGAGTAACTTCTGAAGGTTTCTCTCTCCACACATAACCGATTTGTGATAATGCCTAAGCCGACAAAAAGTGAGCAGCAAGCTCTATGATATGCTCAAGGGTTTGCCCTATGGACGTAGACCCCCCTCGACCTCACACTCTTTCTCGCCGAGTGCTCAATCTGTCAGATCGCTCATGAATTGTGTAATTTAAGATGTTCGCGCTTCATGAGGACATTTAAAGTTCGTGAATTGTGAAAATTACCCGATTCGATATGCGCGAAAATTGTGCAACGAAGCCAACAAATATTTTGCATGGCTCAATCTTCGATTGCCATTTGGGCTGCTGCACACCCTACACCTCTCTCCCTCTCGCGCGCGCTCCTCGTCTATTGCTTTCGCTCTCTTGTCGGTCTCCTTACCCCCTTCGAGCAAGTTGTGACAGGACGAAAGGTAGCGAAATGCGTTGCATTTTAATCGCCCATCCTGGCCCAAAAATAGAGAAAAAGGCTGCTCCTTTTGCAGCCTTTCCTCGTCGCCGTCGCCGTCGTCGTCGTGTCATAAGTGTGTGAAAAATTGATAGACTTGTCATGACCCGGCCCAGGTGGGGTGGGTTAGACGACAGTCGTCCCGTCTCTCCGACGACGCGTCGTCGTCATCTTCGTACTGTCCGCCTCTTTGTATGGCAGCGCACATAAAATTGCATAAATGTCAGGCGACTGTCATGACAACCTCTTGTAAACGCCCCATAATTTTTATTATTAATGACATCAACGCATTATTATCGAACACCCAATGGCCCATCAATATTTTTAACTCTTGCTGAGCACAATTTCGTTTCCTTCGCTTCGAAGTTCTTCGAGCTCCCGTCATTAGGCGAGTCGGCTGCTCTACTCTTGCCTATTCGAGTGCAAATGCCTGCTCAAGATGAAATTTCGAAGCATTTTTAGTTTGCCTTCCTCTACCTAAAATTTCACATTGACCTAGATACTATTCTGGCTGCTCTTAGCTATAATCTGCCTTGAATTCGAAATTGTCAAAGCTTAAGCTGAGTGCTTAAGCAACCCATTTACCCATTTGAATTTAACTTGATTTCCGATCAATCAACTTCACGAGATAATTTGACTTAAAGATAATTTGCTTCGTACAGGGTATTGTGTAGTTGATACCGCTCTACTGTACTACTCTACTCAAAGTTAATGTGTGAAATTATTTGTTAAACATAAATTTGTATGGATAGATACGAACCATAGAATATTCATGTAATTCATGAAAAAAAAAATTGTTATTTTTTTAATTTACTCAAGAATAAAGCAACAACATTCATATTGTGTAATAATACACTTTTATGGTCTGTTAATTGTAACTAAACTAAGCTAGCCGGCGCGAGCAAATGGGTAGAATTTTGATACTAAGATCACAGAGAGGTTTTTTAAGTACCCCATATATCTTATTAAACATAATATATAAAGAAAAGAATCATATCTACATCATTATAAATATTTGCTATATAAATTGTCGTGTTAAGCAATTTAAGCTTAAAATTTGGAGATTCCAATTTTAATGCTCAATAGTGTTCCGTAGCTAATTATTTGATTCATCCATCCAATATCTACATATGTATATATTATGTATATGAGAATTGTCAAAGTATATACATATATTAAATATACATATGCAATTAAGATATTTAAAAGGCATTGCCTACTTTTGGGGATTGCCTATAACGCTACAGCTGCATTGCAATGCATTGAGAAAATAAAATGCTGCATACTTTCAGGCGCACGCAAAAACAAATGTATTCGGCCACATGTAGAATACTTCTTGGAGCAAAACTTGACTAACATGTCAATATAACTCTGAATAGACACACCGATGACGCCAGTTGCTTAGCCTGACTAATTTATGTTATTCTTACTCTTATATTAACTCTAACGACTAACAAATTAATATGTAAACTGTGAAGAGAGCAATGCAAGTTGTATATATATAATTTGCCTTCAAGCGAACTAGTTCATGTCACCAGTATATATGTATGTATCTGTCTCTAGACCTCCATCTGTATATTCCTCTCTCGGAAGGATAAAATGGAGTATTCTTTGCTCTGCAACTCCCCTCACTTGTGCTCTGTCTCTGTTCGTGTATCCTCCCATCTCTATATGTCTGCCTTCTCTTTCTATGCTCATGCCCATCTCTATCTCGCTCTATCTGATAATCGCCGATTTTCATTCCAATTTTCACGTCCAGAAAATTCACATTGTATTTTTTTTAGCAAAAAAAATTTATTTTAATATTCATATTAGATGTTTTTTTTTTCTTGCTCTTTGATTTGTCTTTAAACTAAACCGTTTGAATTGCCTTCTCACTCTCTTCCGCTGTCGCTCGTTCTCGCACTGTCTTTCATTTCATACACTTCTCTTTCTATCTGGTATTTACAATATTGAGTTAACATATAGTTAGTTGTACAATACAATATAATAAAATTGATTAAAATATATAAATAGGTGTTTGTTATCTTTAAAATGTTTTTAGTTAAAAGCAAAGAACAAAAAAAAAACTGATTTATATAATTTAAGATACGAGTGTAAGCACGACAGGCCGATGCTTTCAATGGACTCTCCCCGCCAACATATGATATAGTCTATATATACACACGATCGTGGGCGCAATTTGAAGAGTTTTCTCATCCTTGGGAGGGGGAAAATCGTATGAAAATTGCAATAGAAAAACATTTTGCTTGCTTGCTCCTATGACCGCCTAGATTCTATTTAGATTATGTTAACATAGATTTAGCTTTGGTTACATTACTTTTTGCATGGCTTTTTTTTTCTTTTTTTGGTATTTTCTTTGTATTTTTGGTATGTCTAAGTAAAAAAAATATTTTTTTTTTTTTTTTTGCATTTGTGTTGAAAAGAAGTCGTTAGAATAATACATTGATTATATGTAAATTGATTTTGTTAAATAGCTGGTATGTGCTGTATATATATACATATATATGTAAACACATATATGCATACATAGAAACACTATGCAACATTTGCGAGAAAGTAAAACACAAAAATACTTGCAGACATTAGGAATGAATGTGGAAATGAAAATGAAAATATAATTTTTTCAATTCAAATACAAGAGATCAAAGATTGAACATTTCATTTAAGTAGAGCTAACACAATGGACAAAAACAAAACAAAAAACGTGTTGCATAGTGTTCTGTTTGGTTTTTTTTTCCTACTTCATATCTTTTTTTCTTTTTTTGGTATGTGTGTTGCCTAAGAAGAAAGTCTCGATCGTGCATGTCATAAGTAAAGTATTGCTAGGCACCCACCTACACATACATGTATATATGTCATGTATATATACATATATATATAGGCAGAGACCTACAGGGTCTTCAGCATGGGCGCCTTGCCGCTGGCGCTGCTCTTGTACGTCTCGTAGGAGGCACTGGCCGCATGCAGCTGCGCGTAGCCGGAGCTGCTGGCGACAGCGGCTGCCACAGCCTCGGCGCCATTGACCACCGTTGGGGTTATGGGCTTGTGGGGCTTGTAGCGCTGCAGCACCTCCGCTGAGGTGAGCTTGAAGGTTTCGATCATTTGACTACGCACACGCTCCATTAGCTGATCGATGTCGTTCTTGGTCAGGCCCTCGGTGCTAACCGGCGGCAACGTGGTTATCACTATCCGGCCGGCATTCAATATCTTCTTCTTGTCATTGAGGAATGTGCAGTAGGAGCTGAAGACGACCGGCAGTATGGGTATCTGCTGGTCGATGGCCATGTGAAAGGCGCCCTTCTTGAACGGATGTAGCTCGCCCGTGTTGCGGCGCGTGCCCTCCGGGAATACCCATAGCTTAATGCGTTGCTCCTTGATGCGACGATTGACGGCGTTCAGCGTGTCGCGGGCCTTCTCGCCGCGCACCCGATCGATGAATATGAGCCCGGCCAACCAGGCAGCCAGTCCGAAGGGCCAGGCATAGAACAGCTCCCGCTTGGCCACCACCGTGCACTTGTTCATCACATGCCAGATATTAAACATGCCTGCAATGGACATATAGGCGATTAGCTCAAATAGCATGATCAAATATATATATGTATATATAGATTACCCAGCACATCCAGCGAGCTCTGATGATTGGCCACGATGATGCATGCCCGATCCTTCTCCAGATGCTCCTTGCCACGCAGCTCCCAGCGCAGTCCAATCAGAGCTGTGACACGATGACACCAGGTGCTGGCCCAACTGAAAGCAAGAAACTCGTTAGTTTCCGTTCGAAAGGCTTTTTGTATTCATGAGAATCGCAAAGAGAGGTCAATATTATTATTGATGTACTATATGAGGTCGATCCCATATTGACTGTTGTAAATCTAATATGCAGAGCAAACAAAGATTTCAGATTTGGTCTACAAAAAATGCTCCACTCGAGTGGCATTTGAAATCTCAGTCTGGGCATAGCTAGTTCAAAATTCGATTCAACAAAATTATGCACTAAATAGAGTGGGCGCATTGGAGGCAAGTAAGTAAACAGATGAGTTCTGCATTCAGTTGACTTGCAGTCGGCCTTACGATGGAACCCGACTATCAACAGAATGCCCACTCCAGCGTGGGAGGCGTCAAGGATCATCAAGAACTCGAACAAAAGTAGCATTTTTCCGCATGATGGAAGACGTCGACCGCAAACGTTTGTGCCGCCATCGGAACAGAGAGCGGAGCGTACGCAAATGTCTCTCTTACTTGGCTGGGAGTACGGACGGGAATGGCTGACGGCGCGCGATGAGTCCCGGCGCCACGACTCGTTCAGGTCACCGCAGCGTTTCATTGAGCCCGACTACAACTGGTGGCTCAAGAAGCGCACGACTACGCTCGATCGCCGGAAACTCTACACACGCTCGCGTGCCCCACAAAAGAAGAGCTACTTGCTGTCCGCGTTCGAAACGGCCAGGACGCAGCGCCAGGATCAGAAACAGCTTGAGCTGCTTCCCGAACCGGGCACAGCTCACGACATCCAGTGCGAATGTGCCAGCTGCAGGCAGAGCCAATGTCGCACCGCCTCGAAAGACCAGAGTCCAGCTCCAGCTCCAGCTCCAGCTCCAGCTCCAGGCAATGCCCGGCAAATCTAAAGTGAACGGGATTTTACGAATTGAATCAGACATGACAAAGGTAAAGTGCGACCCTTGTCCCTGTTTTCTCATGCTAGGCTATTTGAATAGATTTTGGTGACAGTGTTGCCACATGATCATAACTGAAAATGTGGCAACACGTTTAATATCTTTCAGCAGCTGATGCATTAGATTTTCTTTAGAAGATATCTATCTACGATTTAAGTACTTGAATGTCAACTTGACTGGCAGCGTTGCCACCTCGTTATATTTGGCACATATAGCAACACCAAAAATGTTTGTAAGCTTCGTTCATGGCCTGCTTGGCCCTTCGATCAGCATAGTTCATATGCTTAGTCGACAGCGTTGCCACCTGGTCAAAGTAGAGACAGACAGCAACATCTGTAAAGCCTACAGACGCAACTATTTCCCTATTTGCCAAATTGAGATCCAATTTCCAGCTGCGAGTGTTCAATCGGCTTTAATTGATAATTGATTTTTAATTTCTGACTACAGACTGAGAAAACGTCGCCACAATCACCAGCGAAATACAAACAGACAGAGAGGCAAGCCAATAATGTGTTTAAATTTACCCCCTCCCCCCTCCCCCCACAGGTTTTTTTCCCCGCTACAAAAATTGATACCAAAAATATACACAATTTTTTGGCATCTAGTCATAAGGCGATTCTCTATCGAGAAGATCACCGAAAGCTGTGCAGCTGCCAAGGTCGCATACCGAGCGGATTAAACGGTCTAAATTATTGCAGTGTATTGGGTGATCTGAACCATGATCCCGATCCCCAATCCTCGATTCAATTGATATTTGACATATTTTTTATATGCAAATTCTACTTTGAAAATTAAAGACTATCTATCAATGTTTATTTCTTACGTCTTTCATTTGAATTTAAATTGCAGTCACTACAAGGTTACGATTAACATACATGTGGTGTACATATCTATGGTGGATCTATATCCATATATGTATACGCCTAGGGGTCTGTGCATATATTTATGGATATATGTATGTATAATTTTGCTAGCAGTTGCGCAACAATTGAAGCCCACTTGGGTCACAAATCAAATATAGCTTCAAATATGTTAAATAGTCGACGTTTGAATACTTCGCACCAGATAATATCATACGTACTAGAAAAATAAAATTTCTATTCTTGTGTTCTCTGCTATTGTTTTTTCTTTTATTCTCTACTTTTTGTTTCTCGTAATTCTTTTTCTATACTTTTTTTTTTTGTTTTTCCTTTACTTGATTCTCAATCTATCTTTTCACATCATTCTCGTTTTTTTTTTTTCACTTTTCTACCCTTCGCTTGTATTTTCCCCTTCCCTTTTCTTCATTTCAACTATCTTTAGTTATTTTCTTTCTTCATTTAGACTAACTTCCCTCTTGCTTTGCAAAAGCTCTTGGCAAAAGCAGAACAATTTTTATAAACGTTCTATTGATTGCTCTATTTGGCATAGCTATATCTACTATATAATCATATGTGCTCAAATTGTATCCAAAACAGAACCTCTTGAGTGGACCCATGAACTTTTCGATCGATAAAGAACTTGCCACGACATTTATGATATTACAGAGAGCCACAGATCGGAACAAACAAGTTATATAACACTTAAAATCGGTTTAATTGAGCTACACTATAAACACCCCATAAAAAACAAAAACAAGAAAAAACTAAGCAAAAACAATGTCCACTCATTGCGTGATAATAAAATCATAAATTGGACCTGGACACGCACAATTAGGTCCAATATGAAAAGATATATACTCTACATGTCTTTAATATTGAAAGGGTGCGACCAATACATATATCGTTAATATTTTGGTTTGGCATTTCGTTCAATTTGCAGCTGATGCATTTTGATTAAATTTTCAGAAATATTCATTAAATATAACTAGAGAAATGCGGCATTTGTAGTGTAAGAGCGAGATAGACAGGAGTTCAGACTGAGGGGGTAAGAAAGCGAGAGTCGACAAGGCGAGACATTGAACAGCTAATCGGGCGACCTCGCCAAATCGCCCGTTGGCTTTAGCGTGAGAACCTGCCAGAGCCCACCTGGGCCAATGTGTTGGCACGTGTCATTCGCGCACCACCTGCATACCAGTCAACGTCCTTCTAATGCACACACACACACATATACTTATATAGTTGTAAGTCTTATGGTCAACCAATAGATGTTAGCTGAGGCGAATGCCAGCTCCACTGGGAGCCAATTATTGCAGCTGTTCCGAAAATACTTCGTAAATATTGATGGCTCATCAAGCGCCCAACTACAGAAGTCGTCAAAAGGCCATTCACATAAACAAATAAATCAGAACTACAATAAGACGGGAGTGTGAACAAAGCAGAGAGTGCTTCAGTTAATATCGACCTCACCCCCAAAAAGTGAAAGCTCGCCTAGACTCTGAACTAAACTCAGTTGATTGCGCATTCACATTTCATAAACTCTTCATATATATAATATATGTACATATGTACATATATGTATAGAACATATACATATATTACCATATATCATATGATGTTTGTTTTCCTTTTCACCTTTTATTCTTTATCGATTTTGGGACCGTAAAAACAGCTCGATAACGTGTTTGTTGAATTTTTGCATTTACATATTTATACTCGCTCATCAACTGAAAGAGGTATATTGGTTCTGTACAATCTCTATCTTCTCTCTCCGGGCAAAAGCTGGTCACATCGAGCCAAAGTTCATTTTGATTCCTAAGAACCAATTCCAAATTTGTAAGCTTTTGAATAAGTTATACCTCGAGTGTTCAACCCTAGACAAGGCACTCCGGTTTTTCAAATACGCCCATTATGTACGGGTTCGCACAGGACCTAAAATTATAGAGCATATACTACTCCCCTTTAGGGTTGATTGAGAAAAGCTTTAGTACCTAGTAAGAAATTATAAATTTGACCTCCTTCATTGCAAACATATATCTACATATGTACGACCTTTTGTGGGAGTGTCCAATCCGAATCAGAATATATCTACCTAATATCACTACCAACTCTTCGTCTTTAATAGGCTTGCAAAGTTTCTCATTGAAAGGAAACCCAGATTAAAGTCTTATCAAAAATAATAATATTTATATGGAATAATTTATTGTTTCTAACAATTTCTCAACTATATTTGAAAGCCACTAAAGTAATTATTCAACAAAATAAACAAACTGATTCCTTAACATAGTAAAGTCTGAACTTTGTAGGAAAATAATTGATTCAGAACAAAAGCTCGAAAATAGTTCTTGATGATATCTCTCTTACAATTATTTTATCAGGCAATAATATATGCATATATATTTCACTTAATGGATGTGAAATAAATCATGATAAGCACATACCCTGGGTAACCCTAGGAATTATGGGGCAATCGATCCACTACTAATCCCCTACTAATGAGACCCATTCCAAGACGCTGCCTTAAGGTCAACATCGTAACGTAATACAACGATTGATAAATCCAACTGGCCGAGATTTTTCAAGCTCAAATTTCCGGATTACGTAAATATACATATACATACACAGATATCTATATCTATATACACTTATATACATAGATAAGCAATCAAAGTAAGTTGACAATCGAGCGAAGTGGTTGCAATTAAATAATGATACGATAGTGTGAGTCTATAACCACAAATTGTTGTTTTTGTTGACAATGTTGTGGTTTCTAGGTGGTTTGATTTGGCTACAAGTGCGGCAATCAGCATACACATAGCGGCTATATTTATCGATTTCATATTTTTATAGCGGGTACAGAGTGTCAAGTCTTTATGGTTAAAGATAAAGCGGACCGTGGAATAAACTAATCAGTTTTGCACTTTATTTGAAACAAATCGATAGGTTCCCAGCAAACATCTATTGTTCCGCTCAGTTCTTATTCATTTCTAATATTTGTATATCAATTTTATATATACATACATATACATATATTTATTTATTTATGCACTATACTCACAGTAAATTGCGTACATCACATGGCCGTGTGAGAAATGCGGGTATCAATATGATCGCATTGAGGGAGACGATTCCATAGTACAACATGAACTTGAAATAATAGCGAAATATGTGATTCGTCTCGTACAGAAAGGGCAACATCAGCAGCACGAACAGTCCGAACAGCTCCAGATACGAGCTCATTGTGAGCCTGACTCAGTCTGTATAGGTGAGTGTGTGAGTGTGTGTGTGAGTGTGCGGGAGTGCGGATGTGTGTGTATGCTTGTGTGCGTGTGTGTGTGTGTGTGTGTAGCCAGTCTGCAATATTCTCTCAATCCCTTGTACTTTCACTTGATTTATTTGCTCTAGCTCACTTCTGTTGTTTCTTTCTTCCGTCTGTTGCCGTTATTGCGCGACACTTAAGGCAGCACGGTGGTGCAGTCTTCTCTCTTTTATGGGTAACACTATTCTCAGCTGAAACGAAGCAAAAGTAGACCGCAATTATATGACCAGCTGCATAGCATTTCAATTAGAGACGAGAGCGTGTCGCACTAATATGAAAGACATTGCAAAGAAACTAAAACAAAATACAACAAAACCAAAATGCAAAGCAAAAGCAGAATTGCAAATTATTTTATACGTATATACAAATATATTTAAATTTAAACGATAATTTTTTTGTTATTATCATAATCATTTAACCATTTACATAAATAGGCTACTATCGATTCGAGTTAACTACCTTCCTAATTAATTTCCTTTGTCAAGTCATGTATTCTCTCTCACGCACGACACGCGTTCATCTCTAGCCTAATTGGTGTTGTCAACCATGTTACATTCTGATTTGTATGCTATTTAAGCGGACACCAGTGTAAATGGCTACACGAGTGGGAACGAGAGCTAGTTATGCCCATATGTATGTGCATACATACATTCATGTTTGGTTGTGCGAAGCTGGAAAGGGAAAGAGAAAGATTGCGTGCGTTTCGCGGCCCATTCTTTTGCTGCATTACCATGATTATTTGGAGAGTGCAGCAGAAAGAACAACAACAACAACAGCGGTGCACGCGCTCACTCACACATGCATACCTTCAGTCACACACACACGCATGCAAGCAACGGTGTGTTTCACGAGCCGGGAATAATGTCAGAAAAAAAATCAATTTTAATTGCTAAGCAAAACAAAATAGCAAAATTTGTGGAAATCATTTCATTTGATTTTTTCTGGCGGGCTATTCAGTCACTCTTCCTGAGATAATGAAATGTAGATGAAATGATTATGGTTGGAGCAGTGATCAAAAGTCCATTAGAGTAATTGCGCCAACAAATTAAATCATATTAATATGAGATATGACTGCTTGTATATTGAGTATTTCCTGCTAATGAGTTCGAATCGCGATACAAATCCAGTTCTATATTACCTTATTTTGCGTAATGCCTTATTTTGGGGTCCCTCAATAAAATATGACATAGAGTAAGCATAGTGGGAAACTGCTCTAAGATATCGAAATACAAACACATAGACAAATTTGTAAATGAGTGTAGGTCGCCCGCAAATATGCAATAAGAAATTTACAGAACAGAAAACTACGGAATGAACAACTCGAAAGTTCTCGACGTGTACATATCCTAGTCAGACTTTTGATATTTACCTTAGAATTTATCTTTGTGGAGTATACACGCGCACCAACATACCACCCAATATATGTAGGCATATATTAGAGTTCGTATTCCTATAGTATAAATTAAAATGCCATGCAAGATAAAATCGTTATGGCACAGCTATCCGCTTGACAAACGTACAGGGTATGCACATACATATGTAAGTATTTCCTATGAATTTGGCCAAATTTCGGTTGAGCTAATCTATGACCTTACAACAAATTTATTTGTTTTTGTGCAAGCCGGCAGGACATTGACCCACACAACATACTATTCCACACACACGCACATATACGCATACGCATACGCACACTACCACGCACGCATGTCGAATCTCGAAATTCAAACATACATACGTACATACATACATATTTGTTTACGCCTCACATGTGTACATATGCATGTGTGATCCACGGCTTTGTGTGCGAGTGCAGATGTACGAAAATTTTTGGCATCGTTCCGCCAAGCGCTGTGTGAGCGAAATGCAGCAACAATAACAAAGTGAGGGTTGTAGAGAGAATGAGAGCGTAGCAGCGTCGCCAATAAAAGGCATTGACACACACAGGGAATAGAGAGCGAGAGCGAGCGATATGCTAAGGATAACAAACACAACATATGAGAAATATGTAAATAGGGGAAAGAGAAAAAATAAAAATGCATAGCATAACATAATTGAGAGTCTCAGGCGGAATTAAGTAAAGTAATTTTAATAAAACACAATTGATGGACGAGAGACAACAACAATGCGAGCGAGCCAAGCTTGACAACAACACATCAAATTGAGTTCAACTACCAAGCACCACAACAGACAAGCATGCAGCATTTTCCTTTTCTTATTATGTGTACATTTTTTTTTTATAATACCTTCGGAGTACGCATATGTTGTGTGTATTTTACTGAAAGGAATTACGTTTTTTCTTGATGCGACGCCGCTGCGCTTGACAACGTTGGCAGCGACGGCGACGACGACCGGGCGCCGTTAAAACGTAGAGCGCGAAAAACTTTGACGAGAATTTCCGTTACCGACGTGCTTACTCTGCGGCGGCGAAAAAAAACAACAACAAATTGTAATTAAATTGACACTTAGCAGAGTATGCTATTTAACATAATACACAATGCTATACTCAAAGTGTTCTGTCTAATTTTTCAGCTTGAAGAATGTTACTGGTTTAACGACAGTCGCTGTTAACATTTGCTCACCCAACGAAATGTTATGTGCCTAACTACGACTTGACGAATAGCGATATATATACATATCGATTTATCCTAATCATCTCTGATACTTGTGTACATTGGTTCGTGTCTTTGCTAATGAGTTTAGAGCGTATTTTAAACCAAAGATTAGTACTTCTAATGTGAATAAATGCCTCAGACATATCCTGAGCAGTAAGTGCATTGAATTTATAAGGCTCCCATTTCATTCATGGGTGTGTACTTAACAGAACATACCCCATCATGTGCAATAATTTAGCTGTCTTTTCGTCTGCCTAAACTTGGCAAGAGGAACCCTGATTATGTAGTATGGGGGGATACATACTCCAGTCTCTATCTAGGTGACAAAAAGCTTGGCATGTGCAAAACGTGTTGTCGTCGGGTAATTGAAAAAATAACAAAAATATTTTTGTTTACATGGCTGCCATGCAAAATGAAAATGATGACGCGCTGATAATCCGAGTTGAACTCTGGGACGGCATCAAATCGAAATGACGGACATTGGTCAATAATCAAATCCATGCTGAGCGAACGGTTTCATCAAGGAGCAATTTCTTAATGTTTTAAATGTGTTTTCATATGCAATCACCATACTGCTTTGAAATCCAAATTACAGCAGATTCGCTCGCTCATAAGTTAACAGAAAAATAAACAGAACTTGAGTTGTCACAGAGAGCGCTGCCATGCGAGACTTTTGGTGAACTCTGTCTCTCTCTCTCTCTCTCGCGCGCGCGCGCTATCGCACTTTGAGTAACTGTATGTGATCGTCAATGCTAAACTCGCGATTGAGGAGAAATAGGTTAGGTACACGACTAAGCTACTGAAATTATGACGTCACAAATGCTGACAATTGACTATGAAAACTCTCATCAAACAAACAATTTATTTTGAATCATTCATATATTCCTACAGAACTGTGAATGTGATCAAGCAGTTTAAAGCGAACAATGCTCAAGTGTTAAAGATATGTTGTCAAGTCAATATGCCAATATTCTGACGTCAGACTCTCCGTAACCACACTCCCTTTGAACCTTTTGATCAAAATGCCTATTGCTTTATAGACTGTTGCCATGTGTGCGTGCGTAATTGTGTGTGTGTATTCGAGATGTACGATGCGAAGGCAGGCACATAAAGCACATAAAGACGCCGGCGGTGCGGCTATTAGAGCACAGTTGGCTTGGAGCTTGACTTCGATACGCACTGTAAGCAGCAGTGGGACGAATAGTGAACGCAAAGTGGAACGCGCAACACGTGTGCCAATTGAAATTGAAAACAAATTGAGGCACAATTTAAAGACGCAGCCGCAACAAGAACACACGGACAATGTCAACCACAACGACATCGAGTAAGTGCACGACTCCCCCTCCCCCACCCTAACCGCTGTCAACTAAAGCCTCGTCTACAGTTGACGGCTACAAGCTGGGCAAGGTGATCATCGAGGGCAAAACGAAGCAGGTCTACAATCTGCCCGAGCATCCTGGCCTCTGTCTGCTGCTCAGCAAGGATCGCATCACCGCCGGCGATGGCGTCAAGGCCCACGATTTGGCTGGCAAGGCACAGATCTCCAACACTACCAATGGCCAGGTATTTCGCCTGCTCAACGAGGCCGGTAAGTTTTGCTCCCTCTCTGTGTCTCTCCCTCCCTCTTGTCTCACTGTCTCACTTTCGCTCTATTTCGAATTCGCCGTAGGCGTTCGCACTGCATATGTTAAGCAGTGCGGCGAGAAGGCGTTCATTGCCCGCAGATGCGAAATGATTCCAATCGAGTGGGTTACGCGCCGCCTGGCAACCGGCTCCTTTCTCAAGCGCAATGTGGGCGTGCCCGAGGGCTACAGGTCAGTAACATTCGGCTAGGTTATCTACCTTGCAATTTACATGCGACTGCTGCGCGTCTTATCAATTGCAACGAACGTCAGTGCGGTCAGCAAGCAGCCATCCCGTTCCCCCCTCCCCCTCCCGCTCCCCTTACTCTCATTTATTACTGGTAATCATAGATTGAAATACAATTGATGCACTGCATCGAGGTCGTTCCGTTGACCCCGCTGCACTGATAAGCAACACAACAACAACAACAAACAACAGACGAAAAACATGCTTAAAATAAGACAACTTTGACAATCGACGTAAATAAGCGGAAACTTTTCAGAAAATTATTTTCCCATTCATCACCTAAAACTGTGACCTCTTCAAATTAATTTCTATTAGATATTCTACACTCGTATACCCGTATATAAGTATGGTAAGCATGAATTCGATCTTTGATATCTGCTCGATAACATAATATCGAAGCATTCGATTTATATAGATTTATAGTAAGATTTATAGCAATATAATGGCGGTGTATATCGATATCAGTTTAACTATAGTTTTATAGGCTTGCATTATCGATAACTCAGGTACGCGTATACCGATAACAGTTTATCTACAGTTATGTAGGCTTACATTGATCGGTAAATCAACTACTCATCGATAGCTATATGAAAAGTAACTCCCATGCATATCGATAAATGCATCTGTTTAATCAATCCTTCCATTGTTCCACACAGATTCTCGCCCCCTAAGCAGGAGACTTTCTTCAAGGACGACGCCAATCACGATCCCCAGTGGAGCGATGAGCAAATCATTTCGGCCAAATTCGAGCTTAACGGTCTAACGATTGGTAAGTGGCAAAGAGAAGACAGCTGCAACAGATTCGAGTGAAGTGGAACTAACTGGAATATGCTTGAATTGCAGGTCAGGATGAGGTGGACATTATGCGACGCACCACGCTGCTCGTCTTCGAGATCCTGGAGCGTGCCTGGCAGACGAAGAACTGTGCGCTCATCGACATGAAGGTGGAGTTCGGCGTGGATGACGATGGCAACATTGTGCTGGCCGATATCATAGACTCCGATTCGTGGCGCCTTTGGCCAGCGGGCGACAAGCGTCTGATGGTTGACAAGCAGGTCTATCGCAACCTGACATCGGTCACCAGCACCGATCTGGACACGGTCAAGCGCAACTTCATCTGGGTGTCGGAGCAATTGGCCGATATTGTGCCCCGCAAGGATCACTTGGTTGTCATCCTGATGGGCAGCGCTTCGGATACATCGCACAGCGAGAAGATTGCCACCAGCTGCCGCTCGCTCGGCCTCAATGTGGAGCTGCGCGTCAGCTCGGCCCACAAGGCCCCGGAGGAAACTCTGCGCATTGTCCGCGAGTACGAATCGGTGATGACGAATCTGATCTTTGTGGCCGTCGCCGGTCGTTCCAATGGCCTGGGCCCCGTCCTCTCCGGCAGCACCAACTATCCGGTGATCAACTGTCCGCCCGTCAAGTCGGACAATATGCAGGTGGACGCCTGGTCGAGCTTGAATCTGCCGTCGGGTCTGGGCTGTGCCACTGTGCTCTATCCGGAGGCAGCGGCGCTGCACGCGGCCACCATTCTGGGCCTCAGCAACTTCATGATCTGGTCCAAGCTGCGCGTGAAGCAGCTTAACAATTTCGTGACCCTAAAGAAGGCCGACAAGGAGCTGCGCGGCGTACGCAATGTTTGATGCGGAACGGGCTCTTCATAACAGTGCCAATTTTTTTTTTATATATATAATTATGAATATATTTTTGTTGTTTCAACTATTTTCTTCTCTCTCTCTTATGTTATGTTTTAGCATAGTTTGCAAAAATGCAAATAATACAAATAATAAATCAAAATTTCAAAATTTCCAAAAAGACATTTTGGGTTTGTGTCTTAGCTGGTAACAGAGTGTATAGTCGTATAATATATATGTAATATACGTATATAAAGTATAGCATATATTTATTATTCAATTATTTTCAGCTCTGTTCTTTGTTGCTAACTACTAAGCTAAGTTTGCACAAATGCAAATAAAACAAAAATCAAAATTTTAAAAATCCAAATAGTCGTGACACAGTGTGATTTAACGACGGGTTTGTATCTTGACTGTTTATATGTATACGTATACTTGAAGCCTGTGTATAGTCGAGACACATTTTTGGGGTGTGCATAGGAAGGCGACGGATTGGCGTCTTGGCTAACTCATTTGTTTTTGTAGCCTACTTTTTAGCTGCGCATTAGAATATTTAAAGGGATTCCTTGTGGTTGTTTCTGATTGGACCAGCTGGCTGAATTAGAATTTAAATTATTTAACTTGTATTTCTTTCTTGTGCGTGCAATATAAAATTTATTTTACAGGCCTAAAACCAATAATAAAGCTTTAAATTGCACGCTCAATCAATAATGGCTGAAAATCGCCATAAAATAAATTTTTCCTGCACATATGGATACATATGTACATATATGTATGTATAAATATGTATGTATGTATACTTTGTGGATTTTTTATATACTTTGAGTCAGCCGCAACCATTATTAGATAAAGCAATTAAAGTGCTTTTTACGCTAATTCTTTAGCAAACATTTCATGCAAGATTTTCAAATTTCATAATCCCACTAAAGCCAAACATTTTCTCTTATCTGTTGCAGCATATGCGCCATTAGCAGCACCCATCCGCTCTTTCCATCACTCACTCACTCTCTGTCTCTCTCCCTCGTTCTTGCTATAGCCTTCGTAAAGCCTTGGAAACTGAGCTGCGTAGATTTAGCATTCTTTGAAGGCGACAGTTGAGCTACTCCAGTTACCGACCCACCCTCTCTCTCTCTCTATCTATCTCAGCCCACTTGCCACGCCCATGCAGACTAAGCACTGATAAGAGCTGGAAAATGACAGATGAAATCGGAGAAGACTGTGCCAAATGGAAGAGTTGCCATCGCCAGTGCAATTACCAAGGCGACTGGGCGAGGGGCGGCAGAGGGCGACGCATCGGTGCGGGAGGGGCGGGGCTATGTAAAATGTGTTGAAGTGCGCGTCGCACAACCTCAGCTCAATTAATTATACTTTACCAGCAAACACATTCATAACAATAACAATAACTTAGCACGTGGTCTGCCCAAAGGGGAGAGACTCAGAGAGGGAGACACAAAGAAGGAGAGAGAGAGCGAGAGAGAGAGAGAGAGGGAGTGCACAGCACATATTAAAAGTCAGGGTCAAAGTGCCATTGTGTTTGCTTCATGTCGCAACTTATGCGGTCGCGCGCTGCTAGCAACGGCTGCCACAGTGCTGTGGCACGGGCACGGGCAGTGGCAGGGGCGGGGGACAGGGGGGTCAGTTGGGGGTCTGTATTGTGGGCGGCGGGCTGGGTTGGGCAATCGGACGGTAACAACAATAAACAAAATATGAATGGCAAGGCAAATGTAACGAAAATTTAAGAAAACAAGAAATGAATAGATAAAAAAATAATGTACATAGGCGACTCGTGTATACCCTACATTATATATATATATATATATATATGTTGATTGTGAATATACATATATATAAATAGATAATAATTGGAAATATATCTATAAATAATCCCATTTTCTATAGAAATCACTTTCTATATATAACTAATATATGGTTTATTAAGTTTAAGTAGAATTAAATCAATACATATATAATATGTATTTGCATTTATGTAGTTAGTCAACTGACTATATATATATATATCTATATATATATATATATATGTATATTGACTTCTAATTGGATTCATATGCAAATTTTCTGTAAATTTATATAAATAATACACATTAATTAATTCATTCACGTTCATTATTTAACATAGTGTTAATAGAAGCAACGTGCTTTAGATATACAACCATATATCTGTATGTATGTATATAGGCAAATACATTTGCTAATAGAACGTGAGATACAGCACGCGCTTCAGCAGGGTATTCATATTTTGTTATATTTATTTATAAGTTTCATTAAAAGTCACATTAAATAATGCAAACTTTGAATTTCAATAAAGCATTTATTTATAGAAAATAAATATAAATTGGTATTTATGTGGTATATTGTGTGTACACATATAAATAATAATATACATATGTGTGCATACACTTGGAACACATCGGCTCGATGAACTGTCTAACAAAATCAGCATGCACTTAATGCTGAGAAGTGTAGAGGAAACAATAATGTTGTCGTCGTCTTTGCTTGGCTTTTGCCTTGCTTTGCTTTGCCTTGCTTTCTGCTTTACGTTGCTTCGCGTCTTTGCGTCTCTGCTGCGACTGCTTCTGTGGCTGCGGCTGCGGCTGCGGCTGGGCCTGAGAGGCCGTGGGGGTCGCCCAACGACAACAATGCCCGGCAATTGTTTTGCGGCGTTGACGCCAACGTCAGCGTCAACGTCAACGTCTGCAGCGACAGCGACGATGACGAGGCTATGTTTGCGGTCGCTGTCGTTTCCGTCTGTCGCGACCGACGACGAGTCGCCGCGACGAGATGGAGTGGGGTGTGGAACGGTGCGGTGCTTTTGGCGCGGATCGTTTGCTAAGGCATAAAACAATTTTGTTACAAGAAAAAGCCGCTGCCGCCTCTTTGTCCGATCTTTGCACACGTTTTCATTATCATTGTGTGCGTGAGTGTGCGAGCACCAGCGTTTGTGTATGCATGTGTGTGTGAGTTGTCTCTTTTACTGCGCGCCTTCTTCTGTCTCTCTTTACAGTCCGGTACTTCAACTTGTTGCTAAAAATATGCAAGGCAGTAAGAGGAAACCGGTTTTTCAGCGATCATCAACTGGCTGGGCCTGTTGCTGGGTGCCAGTGGCCGCAAGCTAGGTTAGGTAGCGGCTGGGCTTGGCTGTGGGGAAGAAGGGTGGGAGAGGAGCAAGGGGAAAGTTGGCGACTGTGTGACTTGATTGAGTTGGCTTAAGCAGCGAACGAGCCATGCACAAATAAAGCCAAGACAACAACATGCAAAAAGCCAACACGTAATACAAGACAAGTCGCGGTTGGGGCCCCAAAACACGATCGCGCCGGCCAAGCACCAAGCAGCAAGCGCTTGCGAAGGGGGCAAAACAATTCACTTTGTTGTTGGCACTGAGAGCGGACAGAGCGGCTGACAAACAAACACACACACACACACATACACACACACACACACACACACACACACAGGTAGGCAAAAAGGCAGGCATGGGGGCATCGATGATGAAGCCGCTGTCGCTGCCGACGCGACGTCGATTACGCGCGCTTATAGCGGGCAAGCCTAGTTGTTGTTATTATTGTTGCTGTCGTTCTCATTCTCTTTGCTGATGCTGCTTTTGTAGTAGTGTGTGTGTGTGTGTGTGTTGCTGTTGTTGTAACCGCAAGTTGCGCTACTTTTGCGCTTATTCGGCTTCGCGCCTTAGCGTTATCTTGCCCCCTACTCGCCATTTCACAATGTCACCCACCAGTCGCAGCCATAAATTCAGGTTAGGTTTTGTTTTCTTCTTTCCTTCTACACACACGCACACGCGAGCACATGCACATGAATGCAGTACTAAGTGCGAGTATGAGTTTACATTTGTATGTGTGCGACGTAGGTATGTATGTATTTCGTTCATGTGTATACATATTTATGTATGTATATACATATGTATGTAAACTGGCTTAACTGTGAATTGCTTCGGCTGCTGACGACGATCGGTCGCATATTAATGGACAACAGCCAGTGGAATCACAGTTGCTGGCGGGGTGTGTGGTGTGTGCTGTGTGCTATGTTTGTATGTGTGTGTGTGAGTGTGTGTGTGGGGTATATCAGGCGGGCGCGAACATTTTAATGATAAGCACCAAGTGTGCGCGATCTGACGATAATAAAAAACTTCAACAATAAAAACAAATTACCAAAACAAAAATTAGCAACAAACCACGAAATGAAGCGGGAACAGAAGAGGAAGAAGAAGAAGATGGTTTTAAAATAGACAACGAAACGGATAAAAGAGTCTATACATATGTATGTATGTATGTATGCATGTGTGGATATGTAGCGGTTAACTAAACAGCTGCTCAAATTCATGTATGAGAATTGTGTCTGTGTGTGTATGTGATCGATATCGGTCAATGTCGAGCAATTACCGAGGTCACGTCATGGTATATGTATGTATGTATGCTTGTATGTGTGGTAAAGGTCCACAAATAGCTCTTGGCTTAATTACAATAGTAGAGAGCATGTTGAAAGGTTTCCCACAGACTATCAATTATACATACATATGTACATATGTATATACATATATACATGCACTTACATATACATATATATACATATGTACATATGTATGTGTTGGATAGATAACGATGCCCTATCATCATATTGCAATCTAGCACTTTGGGCTTTCGCAAATATTTCCACAACTTTTGATTTGATTCTCCATTCAAAGTTATCAACATTAATTAGATAGTCAATAAATTACAAGCAAACAATGATGGATATACAGACATACATGCATACATACATAGGTACATACATAAGCGTGTACATATGTACATATGTAATAGTATAACTGAGTACCAACAATAGCTATACGAATGTCTTTAACATCCATAAATAACTTTATTTTCTCTACAATTGTTTTTCTATTTATGTACATTATATAACAAACATACATATGCATATACATATGTATTTACATATGTACATACATATCACTTTTTAGTATTGCCTTCAATATTGAATTTAGTTCCAAACTCA